TCCGTAGGAAGAGCGAGCTAACAGGAAATATCTCATACTAACAGCTAATACGCAAATTGACTGTAGTTATCTAATGCTCATCAATGGGAAGTTTTTTTTTTTGTTGTGTCTGTTCTTTTTGTGTCTAATGTTTAAGGCAGAGCTTCTGCAAGTCATTATAGCAGCTGTGCATAAATGACATGTTGCAAGCTGACATGTTATTAAAAGATTATTGCCACAGGTGCACTAGGTGTGTTTTTTTTAGCCGTCAAACTGTGCGAATTGTATTTATGAAAATACATTTGCTAAATGAAAGCATTGCAATTTTGTAAAAACTCCCAATTTTGGATAAAAAGTTTTACGCTTCGACTGGGTGGTTTTTAGGTTGTAGCGAAATTCTTATGCTTTGCAAAACTGCAATGGAAATTATTTTTTTTCACATCAAAAGAGTCACATGATCTGTAACTGGACCTTACAGCTTAGTAAAAAGAAGAAGAAGCAAGAGGGAGTTAGAGTAACAAGAGTAGTTGGCACCCAATAGAGCCGTGGCTGAAAAATGGATATATCATCCAGAGTTATCCCACAAACGTTTTCACATGACGTTTCATTTGTATTTGTTGTTTAATAAAAAGACTGCAAAGGCGGAACATTCTTTTTTTTAGCAATACATCAGCTACTGCTCGCCTAAAAGTTAACTGTGATTTTTCTTTCAAATGCTTTAGCTTGTAGTCACAATTTGCAATTAATGTTCTGCTTCTGTGTTAGCTAAAGTAGCTTAGCTACAGTGCTGTGCACTATGTTAGCCAAGTGCTAACCCATATAAGGATTTCCTCAATAGAGCCTACTTTTTATACAGAAAATCGATTCCTTAGTTAGCAGCTAGGTAGGATTCTCAGTCTTCCAGGTCATAGTCATTCCAAAAAAAGTTAAAACAACAATCCACTGGATTTTTTGTTTCCAAGTTTGAAGACGTTTTGCTTCCCATCCAGGAAGCTTTTTCAATTCAAAATGTCAGGAATAGCATTGAGTTCGAGGTTTTACAGAGCAACCAGCAGAGTCAATGAAGATTTTTGCAGAAAATATAAAGGTGTATATATGTATCCAATTCTTATTTTAATTTTAGATTTTCCTTCATCCCAACAAATTGATATCATTTTAATTTCACAAAATTGGTTTTACTGAGCCCTGTGTTAAATGCTTATCTGGTGACAAAAACCTATTTTTTTTTTAATATGACTGCCTGTAAGCAGCAGATAGAACCATCAAAGTAAAAAATTCTTATTCCAATATCTAATATATAAGCAAATACAAATCCTGCTGGTAACACAGGGAAAAAGAATCTTTGAGAGGCATTAAGATGGTTCACACACTTATTATGAAATTACAACAAAGTTGTCCCGCTGGATGAAACCAGATGCAGCATTTTCTATTAAAACACGTTGCTGAGATCTAAATAAAAACAGCTTGGCAGACTAACCACCATATGGGGGCTATATTTGAAAAACAGCTTTTTTGTACAGATTTTTTTATTTTTCAGAAATACTGGATGGAGGGTGTTTTTCTAATGTAGAACTCTTCTTTATGTTTCCTTGTCTGCATTTATTAACTGGATAAAGGGGACATTTTAATGTAAGGTCATTTTCATTCTCCTTTCCAGATAAATCTATTTTTATCCCATGGTAACTATCATATTGTGTACACAGGTTTGCATTAACAGCAGTGAAATCATGTCTGCAGTTTGAGTTCATACTAGGGCAAAATGGTGTTCAGCAGTTCCTGATTTCAGATGATATGTTGCTCATAGAACTGCAATGCACGGTAATATGATTTACAGTCGCTATTTTAATTTCATTATGCGCATTATCGCAATCTTAAAGATCTGCTTAGATGCAATATTTAATAGGCTATAATATTCTATATGCCATGAACTCTGCAAGCCAATTATGTATCTGGATTTACTGTTTCTTACACCTACATTTAAAATGTATCTTACTAGCTGAGAGCTAAAGCTCAGACAAATGGGGGAAAAAAAGTTATTGCAATTATTACCCATATTGCAATTTTATTGTACTGATGTCGTAAAGCCCCAGAAGCCATTTTATTAAAAAGTTCCTTCGCACTAAACAAAGATGTCTCATTACAGTAGCCTCAATTATATAGTAGACTGCCAATAAGATGGAGGATAGTAAAAAGAAGCCTTTAGGCTCCTAAAACAGGAAATATTTTTTTACAATAGAGACTGATTGGGATGGGATTCCTCTGGATCTTCTGGATCATGACTCGTACTATTTCAGGACACCAATGACATTAAATGTAGTTTTATCACTAAACTGTTTATTTTTTTAAATGACATTATGCACAACTGATCATCGCAATGATGACTTAAAAACCTTTTTGTGATTTAAAACAAATAACAGCAAATGGAAAAAAAAAATGCCCATTTGGAGGTGATTTTTTTTTTTTGCAAAAAATTTGATTATAGTGTTATAGAAAAATCTAGAAGAGCATTCCAGAATGACAACCTGCAAGTCTTGGTCCTCTGCAGGCAGGAGGCCACACAGTTTAGGGTCACTGTGAAGCCAGACCTCTAAGGGTATAAAGTATAGCACCTAACAGTGATGCTCGATATGATGCTCTGTAGTGTAGTGGAGTTTCAAAGCTGTCAACAGACAGAACCTCCATCAGAACTTGTCAGTTATACCTGTTAAAATGTGTCTTTTTGTCATGTATGACATTAAAATCACATGTACAATATTTGCAGGATCTTAATTTGTATTAGAAACAGCCGCCACATGCAACATGTCATAAATCACAAGTGAAATTTTTCGCTCTTGAATCTTTCCGAGGTTTTGATAAATGAGGCCCAAATGCTCCCAACTCTCTGACTTCTGGTCAAAATGGGAAACCTTTTCCTCTTTAATTATTCTCTGCTAGAGGCAGGTGATTGATTGAGTTGAAATTTAAAACTTTTTGGTATTTTATTTTTTTAACTTATGTCGGTCCTACTTTTTTTTTTTTCACTTTCCAGACCTATTAAACAGCCACGCACTGATTTGTTCATTTGCTGTGACTCTTCATGAAAAAAGTGGAGCTTCAAAGATCACCAGAGCGTCCTGATGTAACGTGTTGCTCTTTTCTACGTGCTTTACCTTTTGACTCTCCATGACAAGAAGCGTCCAGTTTCAAGTGGACTTTGTGCAAGGTCATTTCTGAGACGGCCTCAGGAGAGGAAGTCTGACTGAGTTTACTTTTACTTGACCTTTTGTGCTGCACTGCTGAACAGGATCAGGTGCTTTGAAAATGACAACACCACCTAGAGTAGTGATGCATTACGTACATGGGAAATGATCTAGAAGGAAGGCAGACAGCTCTATTTTTTATTTTCTTTTAGATTGGAGATGCACAACTTTTTTTATGTCAGATTAATCATATTGTCTATTTTTATGAGTTCTTCACAGTCCCAAGAAACCGATATTACAGAGAAGAAAGAAGAACTAAAAACAAGAGCCCAACTGATGTGGAATTTTGAAGGCCAATATCGATATTGGAGGCTTTAAAAACTGATATCTGATATACTGACTGATATCAGACACATATCAGCCAGAATGTTAAAAAAACACATGGACATACATGGGATATGCGCTGTTCAACTTTAGTCCAACTCAACTTCTCATAACATAAAATGTAATTCAAGACAAATAAAAGGAAAATAGAACTATGGAATTAATATAAGCAAGTTTAATTTGAGCAGTGTCACATAAGACTATAAATACAATATATTTTTGTGGTGCTGATTTAGGTATTGCCTCAGATTTTTTTGTGTTTTTTTTTTTTTTTTTTTACTAACTGATGCTGGAGCCATTAATAACTTTAACACTGCAGATGCTGCATCCAGCAGCTGTTACATCCCTCGTGAAGTGGCTCCACACCTAAATATTCCCCTCTGCCTGTGAAATTAATATATATACATTATTTTGCATTGTATTTTGCTAATTAGATTTCACTTTACGGTTGAGCATTTAAAAATGAAAGCAAGTGGCTGCATAAAGCTTAAAGAGATAACATATAAGCTAATGGGAGGTGTTTTTTTTTGTTGTTTTTTTTATCTGATTCATCTTTAAGACTTATTCACCAGAACACCTTAGAAATATAAATTTGTCATATTTACATGCAGCTGAAAAGTTCCCTCCTCTGCTGAACACAAGAGGCTAAACTAGGTTAATGTGGCAATGCTGCAGCTTTTAAAACATACGGACAGGATTAAAACTAAATACATAAGTTTGATCCTTTTAAAAATTGATGTAATGAAAACATTAACTTCTGATTTTATGAGCCCCAGTCCAACCTGCATGAATTGTTATGGGACACAATGTGATAATCTTAGTTTTCTTTTAAAATTATTTTTATTTCACAAAGAGATTTTGCAGGGAGGGGCAGTGGAAAGAGAGCTCACTGAGGGTAGGGGCAGCGCAGAGCAGCACAGCCCTCAGGAACGGAGGGCAGGGGAACAGAATCAGTGCCCGGCTGAAGTTTTATTCTGTCGGGCTCTACTCTACATACAGTTATATGGGACTTTAGCTGCCTTTGTCTTACATCCACTAATGTCCTGCAGAAATTCCCAGGGGATTGGCTTCAAAGCCTCTATTGACGACCTATAAGCTGGCTTCTTGGATCATCTCTGAATGTTTTAGTAACAAAGCACATGTTTGTAAGTTTTTCAAATGAATATGTGACTGCTGTGTCTCAAATGGCTCCTTGGCTGCTCCTTAATTCAGAAAAACACAAAGACCATCTGTGTGTGAGATGTCAGTTGCATCTGGTTTTATGTGTGGCGGGCTTTATGTTCAGGGTTAATTGCTGCGATTAAACTGAAGAGTTTGGGGGGTTTATAAATCTTTGAGTCATGGATCTCTTAATATATTCAGCTAAAGATGGTTTTTAAACTCCTTTTGATGGGATTTATTATATTGCAATGATTTTTATATTAACCATACGTTGTTTATCAATCTCTGTCTTTTCAGCTGTGCTGCCAAAGAGCCTTGGTCCTCTGACAGAGGGTAGTGTAGAAAACCCAGCGATGAATCCCACCCCGACGGTGGGGAGGCCTCCTGGTCAGAGAGGCCGTAAGCCTGGGCGCAGGAAAACAAAAATCACCGGCTCCTGGAGTCAGAAAGCTTCTGCTTTGGTATCACAAAGCATCCAGCCAGGGAAGGATTTGGAGCCCATCAAAATCCCCAAGAAACGAGGACCTAAGCCGGGCAGTAAGGTAGGCAGGAGGTGGGCAGTACAGTAGTAGTGATCTATTAATGCATGAAGATATTGTGACATGTTTCTGCCACTCACATCACTCTCAGGGTCCATTAAACATTATTAAACATTATTGTTCAATATTAAGACCTTGCTGTTGATTGGATGTAGATCATACAATGAAATAATGGCCTGTTATTTGTGGAACTTTTATTTTTTTTAAAAACAAAAGACATAAAGGTGATTTCAATACATTTGTGGTTTATTTTCTGGGACTTTATAAAAAAAAAAAACTTTTTTTAAAGGTTTTACTTGTTGCTATATTGCATTATTCATTTTAAATATCTGGTAAAGTTTGGGGATTTCTCTTCCTGACTGGCAGCTTTAAAATGTAAAGATCTGCTTCCTGTTTTAGACTCTTAATTTGTCAGCCGACCCTCTGAAGTAAAGGCTTTTGGACGGCTTTTAAGCAGCAACAGTTTTATTGAGATAAGCTGAGCATGTCCATTAAGTCTCGTCTATTTAATGTCCTAGATTTATACCAAAGAATATCAAAGAATCTCAGCCCCCTCAATGTAAGACAGTAAAAACATCTTCTGGATGCAGCTGCTTAACCTGTTTTGTCTTAGTAGCAACACCAGGTATTGCTTCGGTTGCCTTTGTTATGCAACTCTGAAGTTTTGGGGCTTTTCTTTCATTAAGGGACGGGAGTAGTTAAGTTGTGGCCCTGACCTTTGTTCTGTATTTGCAGCTGGGATGGGGAAAGAGAGATGGCTGGTTTGGGGAGGCCCTGACCGGACCTGGACGGCCAGTGACAGGACCAGGGAGAACCAGAGGAAGATTTCTTGCCAGTTGGGCACAGAGGATTGCTCTGCAGGAGGCCCAGGCTGAATCAATCAAGATCCCAAAGAAAAGAGGGCCCAAGCCCGGCAGCAAGGTGTTCATTTTTAAATTAGATCATTAGATCACAAAGATCCAATATTATAGATGGTTGTTTTATAGCTATTTAAAAGTGAGATCATGAGGCAGTCACTTGTGATAGAAAACATTTTGCAAATAAAAGTTCTAATAGGTGACTCAAATGTTGTAATATTTGTCATCTTAAACAGAGAAAACCTCGTGTGCTACCCAATCCTGTCCCAACGTCTCCCACCAGCAGCACTCCAGAGCCTGACACCAGTACTGTACCCCAAGATAATGCCACCATCCCCAACTCTGCACTGCAAGCTCCTACAGGTAAAACAGTGGTAATGACTCAAAATATAAGGCTAATAATTGTCATTTATTTTTTGTTTATTAATATTGTATATTTCAGATACGCTTCAGTTCCTGATATTAACTTGATAGTAGTGGGGCGGGTTTATACATTTTTGGGGGGGATTATTAGTTCATAACTACAGATCTTATGTTGTGCTAATCATACCCCAAATGAATATATTTCTTTCACTTTGCATCTGTTGTCTTCCTAGCTGTCGTTTTAGCTGCATCCATAACCTGTTTTTAACCCCTCTTACATTCAGAGGGGAAATTTTTCTTGGTATTCTATTATGTGAAATCTAGGATGTTAAATAGACAAGAATTGATGGACATGCTCAGATTATCTCAATAAATATACTGCATCTTTTAAGCCATCTAGAAGCCTTCACTTCGGAGGGCCGGCCTTTAAATTTAAGAGTCTAACACTGGAAGCAGATGCAGCTGGTTAACCTGTTACCTTAGTAGCAAACCAAGGCATTGCCTCTGTTGCCTTTGGGAAACAACTCTGAAGTTTTGGGGCTTTTTGTTTTCATTGAGGGACGGGAGTAAGTTAAGTTGTTGCCCTGCTTATAACAAAAAAGAAAAAAAGGAACTCGAAGCTAGTGGCAGATCTATGCATGCAAGTAGAAGTAAGCACTTTCCAAACAAAGGTTACAGTAAAGTCCTGTAAAACTGGACTCTGGACAAGCAAACATTCAAGGTAATAAAAAACTAAAACCCTAGAGTGACACATCTACATGCTTGTGGTTAGTGCAAAGGAAATTGGAAGTAAAATTTCAATTTTGGTTGAAAATAATAACAATTTTGATATTTTTGGCAAAATCCTTCAGCCCTGATTTCGGTTGTGTATTACTAGGTGGTATTGTGCTGTTGATCAAGTGAAAATATCCGGTACAGCCTTGAGCTTTGGTTTACAGATGTAACAAAAAAATACCAAATTGTTTTTTTATACCTGAACATGCAGAATTTTTATGTGCCAAATGAAATGTTCACCGCAGCATTTTGTAGCGCTACTGCCAGCTCCCACCAAACTTTATTTGGAAACATTGGGGTTTCTCTAGAAACTACAGGGGAGATAAGTGGCTTAATAGCAGCATGCTCAGCCTTCAAAAGTAATAAAGTACCCTGCTCTAAAGCTATGCTCACACAGCAGCCTGAAGTGACCCCATTCTGATTTTTTTTTTTTTTTTTTTTTTTTTTTTTTTACCCTGATGCGACCTGGATCTGATCTTTTCATGGCAGTCTGAACAACACAGATCAGATGTTTTCCAATCAGACCACTTGGCTAAGTGGTCCTGAATCCGATACGAATCTGATCATTTCAAAACGGCCAGGTCGCATTTATCCTACCTGTACGCCATTAATACCTGACAAAGAGATTCTATTCTGCATCTTGCTATGCAGAAGTGCTAAGAAAATAACAACCATGGTGGACGATAATGCGGAGAGTAGTATTTATGTCAAACCATCTTGAAAAGATTGAGTTTTTAAGGTTGGGAAAGATCGCTAGACGAGCTCCAGCACTGCCATCCATGTTTACTTTCGTAAACACAGAGCACACTTGCTTGTGACGCCATTGCGTCCTCTACTGCGCATGCAGGACGCTTACGTTGTATGAATGCAGTTCACACTGGAGATCACATACAAGTCGCATATATTTGAAAATGTCGGATTTCACAAAAAAAATCAGAATAGAGCATTAAGGCCTTCAGTGTGAATGTAGCCTAACAAGTGTTATTTAAACAAATATTTTACAGCCAACAACTCCCAGGTGGTGTAAATGTTCTATAATTCATCCATCTCAACAGGAAAATTATTATTTTTATTTTTTTTTATGATTTAATAATCATCAATATCTTTGTTTTGATTTTTCTCTCTCTTAAAGTTTGTGTGTATCTCAATAAGTACGGTAAGGTGGGACCCCATCTAGATCTGCGGCGCGTCCAGCAGCTCCCAGACCACTTCGGTCCGGGTCGGGCCTCCTCGGTGCTGCAGCAGTGTGTTCAGGCTTGTGTGGACTCCGCTCACAACCAGGCCACAGTTTTCTCCTGCCTCAAGTCGGGACAGGGAGGAGAGGTCATTTCAGGTGAGAGCTGGACCAGGAAAGGGAAATATTTTCACTCTTTTCAGTTTTTGTTTTGGAGCTTCATTGTTTTTTTGTTTGTTTTTTTAATTCAGTGTTCCATTCCCAAGCATATTGAAACATTTAACTTAAGGCTTAATGGGATCATGTTTGGAGTATAAAAGTTAATTTAATGTTAATAAAGTGTAAAGAGAATGGGTTGTTAACTACATTGTTTTATCCACCTGGTTGTATTTTCCAGCATTCTTTGACCAGCAGCAGCACACTCTGACCCTCCCCACTGTCAGTAGCGTCACATACGTCCTCCGTTTCTTGGAAAAACTCTGTCACAACCTTCACTGCGACGCTTTGTTCGGCAGCCAGCCTGTGGCACGAGGAGGCGTTCACTATGACAGTCAGTCATACTCTGCAGGTCAGATCTGCTTTTCTCTCGGTATTGGCTCTCTTTTTTGGGGTTTTGACATCTAGACTTTATAAAAATATATTAAACCTTCAACCAGAGAGTGAATTTTAAAATGGTAAAATTGGAAAGATAAGAAAACAGGTTAGGAGTACAACTCTTCTTCTAATTTTCAACACCACTAATTGAAACCACATACAGAACATGTTTATCAGCCCCTATCAAAAAGCGGAAGAGTGAGCAACCATTAACCTTCCGTTTCTGCAATTTCCTTTTTGTGCAAAGATCCTCAGAAGAGTCGGGTGTCCTTCTGGTTTCAGACTTTTTGTAGCCATTCGTACAATAAAAAACTGTTTTGTTAGAAATAAATGTAATAGCATTATAACAGCTTTGTGTAACACAACTTACTGGGACAGAAAACACTGACCAGCAACTCTATGGTGACAGAAATATATAGATTGTGTAACAATGTTTATGTAAAGGCGAAAGCCTTCAATCATATGCTTAGATATATGGCTAATGTTTTCAACAGTGGAACCGGGGCGGTATCGGCCGATGCGCTAAGCTGAGGTATCGGATGAAAAAAGCTGGATCGGTGCATCTCTAATTTGAACATTTCAGAACTGCTGACAGTTGTAGGCAGAAAGTAAAAAGTGAACAAGATCTGCTTGCGATCTGCTTGACAGAAATTAGTAAAACATCTGTTTAGCTTTACTTTGCAGATCCTTGGTTCTGAAAATCAGTCATGCTCCTTTGACCAAAAATAATTTAGCTTCATAGGTATAAAATCATTTGGCAGCAACACCGATTAGGGTTCGTTTGCTTCTCATCATCAGCTTTTTTCCCCAGTTTGTATTTCACAGCATTGTAGATTTGCTTTTGTTTGAAAGCTTGTATTTTACTGATTGTAATGAAAATATTAGTAAATTAAAGCAGTTAAACTGGTTCCACTTGTTTTTCCTGCTTTGCTTTGTGGAACACACAGACAGATGAATTATAATATGATGAATTATAATAAAACATGATATCCAGATGCCATCCACACATGCACGACACAATATTACAGGACACAAATATTACTTATTTAAAGCCTCACAACTGTACAAACATCTGCCCCATGTTATGTATCTGTGCTTTGACTCTTAGAGCATTTATCAGTGAAACAAGTATAGCAAAGGAATTCTACCTTATTAGATCACAGACTTTCTTAAAGCTTTTTCTCTCTGGCCTTCCCCACTTATTATTGACATTGCTCTACCAGCATTGTTCACTAATTGGGGAGACGCTGACCCATTCGGCCAATGTTTTTACACTTCACCGGCAAAAAATAACATCTGGTCAGCTTAATTGTGTCTTTATCAGGGCTTCTATTGTGCAATGATAGCCTCTGCCTTAGCTGTTGATCTTTGCTCCTCCATATGTGCTGATTTCAGAGAGGAGAGGTTTCGGTGACTCCCTGACCGCTGGCCCAGGCAAAGGCACAAAGCGCTTCCATCAGGACGTCAACGGTCCTCTGTCTCAGAAACTAGCTAAGCTCCCAAGGCTATCTGCTGATGGTATGCACTACCTATTATTATGGTTATTTAGTCAAGCAAGGGACTTTCTTTGTATGTTTCATGTGCCAGCCCATCTAATGCACTGTTATTACTTATATTGATAAAATTGATAGTTTTCTTATGGATGTAATTATATGTTATATACTATAATTTTGCACTTCTAGACTGTGATTTGAAGCTGCTGTTAATGCTTTTAAAATAAGGACAAAGTTTGGTTCTTTCTGTTCTGTTGGCTTTTTTTCAGATATGTAGTATTTATATTGAACCTCTCTCTCTATAGGAAGTAGATGCTTTCATTCAATCTTTTACATGTAGGTTAAATTGACTTGGTCATTGATTTTGTTTTGTATTTCTAAATACAGATTGAAAACCTCATGTTTCCTTTATACAAAATTATTGCAAGTAGAAGAAAAAAGCAATATCAGTTCAGTCCGTTTAGCATTTAATATGGCTCAGTGGTATACCTATTTCTTTCCAATCATTCTAGAGTGGTTTCCTGCCTTTGTACTTGAGATTTTTTATATTCTCAATGGATGGAACGTCTCAGATAAGTAGGTTTTGTACATATTAAATGGCACAGAATTCTCAGTGCTCTGCATTTATGTAAAGATTTTAATTAAAAAATGACTGCTTTGGCTGGTCTAGTAAAACTTGAAATGATCATATATAAAAAGGAGGTAGTTAAACTGTAGCTCATAGCTTGGGAAAGAGTGGTATTACATTTTAGAGCAGGAGGTTAATCATTTAATCATCTTTCAATTTCCTTAGACTTTAATTAAGCTAATGGAATATTTGAAGAGTTTTCTCTATAAGGGTAATAACTCCTTAAAAGGTCCTGCTCTTTTACTTAAGGCTATAGCACACACTTAAACCCCTGAATGTTGGACCAATATCACTGTGAAAAACTCTCTGTAGTCTTATTGACTCTACAGCTTTCAGGCCTTTTTCTTATTTTTAAATTCTTTTTTTTTTTCCCTCCTCAGGTGAGAATAGCGTTTCAGGATCGGAGCACTTAAAGAAAATCCCACTTTCTCCAAACTGTCCAGGACTGACGCCTGGCCTTAGATCTCCCTCCAAACTGCTTCATCATAACAGCTCTGCAGGTGAAAAAAACAAGCAAACAACATTCAGCCTGTTTAACATTGTGAAATTCATTATCTTGTGCATTTCCTCATATAATATTGATCATAAATCAATTATAATAATTTGTTGACATTATGGGTTTTGGAGAAAATTTGCAAACTTAAATTTGGCAATCTGTTTTACGTACATGTATAATAAAATATTAAACCGTAACATTATTGACACACAGTTGGAGAAGAAGCGTGGAGACTGTTTAGCCAATCAGAATGCAGAACACAACACACGATGCGAATCCATGAAACATTGAGGTCGTGAAAGTTGAACCGCTTTCTAGCAAAGGTTCACTGTACTTTTTTTTCTTATTCAGCATTCAGTGATCTGTAAAATGATTTAGTTTTAGCTGTTATCACCAGATTTAAAAGAAATAAACATACATGGATACAGTTTTAATAAATAAAAACATTTAAAATTCATGTAGTTCAATAACTTGATTCATTCAGTAAAACAATCGACTGGTGTTTCCAAACCTTGTTTTTCTTTCATTTATTAGAATCTCCCTTTTTTCTTATTTTAATAACATTTAAGTTTAACATAAAAGGATGGATACAGAACTGTGGGCTTAAGGAAAAGCATGTTTAATACATTTTCTTTTAATTTAAAGGTACTTTTGACTAATGAGGCTGATCAGTTCCCTTTTTTATGTATAATAAATTTAGTTGTATATCTCTTTACACATAGTTAATCCGTATAGGATGAGTTTTACCTATTAAAATCAAATGAATAAAATCAATGTATTTCCTGGATACTGAAATGTACAGAAATGAACATGTATCAAGGTAAAAGACGTTGATTTGGGGTTTATCTGTCTGTCTTCATCCCTCCTTTCTTCTTCTAGTATAACATATAGCTGGTTTATTTCAAGAGGGATACTTTACCCAAGAATTTCATGATTATTGTTCAAATTTGACATTTGACACGAAAGCTGATCAACTTTGTTTTGTTTTCTTAATCTACGCCTTTTTCTTTCTTTCTTAGGTTCAGGCAGTTTCCGGGAGAGTCCCAGACCCAGCGGTCAGGATCCAAACCTTTGGACTGTTGAGGAAGTCATGCAGTATATCCGAGATAGTGACCCAGTTCTGGCTCCACATGCTGACCTTTTCAGAAAACATGTAGGTATCTCTTATACTCCTTAATACAGAAGATCTGCGCTCCCATTTTTCTTCTAGTAGAAATAAAAAGCATCTCTGTGGTACTAATGAATGGTTTTCTTTCTGCATTACAGGAGATTGATGGTAAAGCCCTTCTGTTACTGCGCAGTGATGTTATGATGAAATACATGGGTCTGAAGCTTGGGCCCGCGCTCAAACTCACCTTCCACATCGACAAGCTTAAACGAGCTTAAAGAGGCCGTATCAGCTGCAGCCTTTAAAAAGGCTCCCCTATTACCCCATCTCCCTTTTCCAGTGTCAGTATACCATGCACATCAGAAAGGACATATACTGACCGTTTACATGTAGCAATTTACTTCTGACCATCATATATATGGTCCCATGTTCTCCTTTTTTTCCCTCATCTAATGAGGAATGTGTATTTTGTGTAGCGCAATCTAGCTTACAGGCAGCACAGGATACATACAGCTGTTGGCTGAAAATCCATTTCTGTGAACATAGGCGATGAGATTTAAGTCCAACCTTTCATTTGGGAGCCTGTAGAACCACAGTTGGTATGATGTGGTTTTGCTTGTATGCTATTTGTCGTTTTTTACCATACATGGCACCATGCATGATGGCCAAATACCTCAAATAAATACACTTTAGCCACATCTGTCCAAAGTTGTTTTGTTCCAGATGTGCTGCAGTGTTTTGTTTTTTTGTTTTTTTTTTAGAAAGCAGAAGCTTTCTTCTGGGAACCCTTCCAGATAAGCCATATACCGTTGGTGTTTTTGTCATTAACTGTAAAAGACTGAGCTTTAAATTGTTTGGAAACAAAAATATAACTATTGGACTGATGAGCGGCTAAAGAAGCTCCTCTGAAGTCATAGCTGATGTAGATAATAAAGTGCATTGGATTACTGTTCTCTCTGAAAGTTATGGAATCTGGAAGGGTCTACCTTTTTTTTTTCCCGTTTCTGTATTGACAGTCAAGAAGACAGATTAATTTCCTCTCAATTTTTAATCATTTCAGTTTGACTTGAAATCTCACACGGCTACGTTTTAAATGCTGAAGGGCCTTTTAGCCCGTTTTCAAGACGTTACAATTAAATCTGTACATTTTCATATTTTCTACTTCTATATTGTATTTTTCAATATTAATTGTCAGATCATAAAAAGAAACCCTAAAAGTAGAATAGAAAACACTAAATGCATCCCAATAATTGGGAGTTTTCTACTAGTCTCAGTTTGAGGCACAACTTTTGCATTTATAAGATAAATCTTTTGGGGGGGTGGTTCATTTTATTAAAGAACAATCAACTTTTATTCCAGATTTGCAGTTTTAATCTCTTTTCTAAATATTTGCTGCATATGCTGTGTTATTTGTACTTTTTTACATTTTATACTTCATCAGTGCTCCCTTTGGGAAGAGCTTCGTCATACTCGGCATGTTCATGAATTTATAATTCCGCTTTGTTTTCCGTTTGCGTTGCAATTCCAACAGAATATGTAGTTGATTGTTTATAAACTTGTGTTAACAGATTGTCATAAAATGTTCAGTTATTTAAATTAAAGTATATGTTAACATCTATGGCTGGTTTCATAATTATTTCTTATTGTCAGGTAGTTTTTATCAAGTCAGTTGAATTTTAAATGACTGTAACCACCTGACTTACCAACAGAGGGCGGTACAGAGCTATTTACCTATATCCTAAGTCATGCTTTTTTACTCTGTTTTGTTCTACCTTGGGTGGCCATCTCTCCATCTGGTAATCTCAGCTTGATCTGATATTTTTTCCATGCAACTGCTTCATGTAGTTTTCTCCATTATCAGTGCTTCCCTTAGATTGCAACTATGTTATTTCATTAATTCTTTGCTATTTAAAGCACCCCCTTAGGCTTGTTTCAAGATAGAGAACATAATTTGAGTCTAAGGTACGGTACTGCTTTTAAAAAATCCACTTATTTCATACTAATCTTACAATCCGGCTCCCATCCCTGTGAATGTTTTCTTTAATTCAACAGAAGATTTTAAGTTTGAAGGGTTTATGACCACACAGACCCCATCTACTCTTGCTAAAAAGATGAAAATAAAAACGGGAAGATGTGCTTTTAATTTCCTCAATTTTAAAGATATAACATTTTATGTTTGTATAGTAGGTCTATCGACTTGAACTAACAGTTTTTAAGCATATTTCTATGCATAGCAGCATTAATGGCCTTAAACTGTATGTTGGTGGACTCCACTGCGACGGTTCATTCTGAATTAAACTAATCAATTCTGGCCTGTGAGCTTCTCTGTCTTGTAGCTCTGGGATGTCTCCTACAGCAGACCTAACTTCTCAGGCCACTCTCCATGAAGGAAATCAGATTTAAGCTCAACTAGATTGTTTTCCCCCTTTTGATCAATCAAGCCTTTCTTCTAAAAAAGAAGAAAAGGGCAGACATAAGCAATCATGCTCCCTAATTGGTATTCATGATAGATTCACGACTCATTTAAATTGTTTAATTGCTTGTTACGCTGATTCTGGATGGGTTTTCCAATTATCTTTTATATACCCTTAGCAAACTTGGGTGTTTACAACCCTGCTTAGTTCTATTGATTATCCTCTGATTAAATGGTCTATAAGACTTAATTGCTTTAAACTGGTAGCAACATATAGTACATTGTTTTTAAAAGTATTCCTAACTCTTGAAACATTACATTTCCTGTTACAATTGCAAAAGGATTGCTTCTGAGATTTTATTTAGTGTGTTTGTATTCAGCTCCCATTACCCTGATCTACAGTTCATTCTATAGAAGTAATGTGTAAATAAAGTAGATTTTAATATTCCTTAGATTCTCTTCTGCTCCAGCATGGCTGTCGAACTTCAATAGCAAGGTTGGGAAGAAGATAAATACTCCTAGAGCCAGTGTTAGCTCTGACTGAGCTGCAGAGATCAACATCTCAGGTTTATGAATGTCAACAGGACAATTATTGGTTCTATTCTGTAGAAATATGAAATAGTAACAGAATGAAACCAACAGAAATGTGATGGGAAATTATACTATGATGCTCTAATTAGGGCAAATAATCCAATTTTTGAGCCTTGCTAATGCTATGTGGGATGGAAAGCTAAAGCTGCATATTGTGTCATTTTGGCCCAGGTGTCACCACAGCAAGTCTTTATAACTTTCAGAGTATTTACACCAGATATCTGTCTTGACACAAGTGCAATTCTACCACAGATCCCCAAATTAGTCGAAGACTAAGTTGCTAAAGTCTTTACCATAGAAGGACTCAAAGCTAACGCTGTAAATTACCATAAAAACATCAAAACTGTCGGTCGCACATGGTGGAGGCAGTATCATACTGCAGGGATACTTGTTTTGGAACTGCCATCAAAGTCCAGACCTTAACCTAAAGGCTGATTTATACTTTGAAATTAGGCCGTCTGCGTAGGTCTCGCAATGAACGCAGAGACGTCCCGCCCCTTCCGCAGACACTCTGCTGCACCTCTCCCAAATTATAGGGGACCGCAGAAAGGAGGCCTCTGATTGGTCAAATCTACATCCACTCTACTCATGCGTATTTCCTGTTTGGTACCTTACTGGCTTGTTTTGTTTGTATGACTGCCATTGTGGAAAACAACTCATGAAGCTGGACCAGCTAGAGGAGCGAGGTGCACGAGAACGCTGGGACCCTTTTCCCACCTGGATCCCCTCTCTTTTTCGCCCTCATGTCCCTCCATCGCACAAACTTGCCACCATTTCCTCACCACCTCGGCCGTATCTAGACCCACAGCTGGTTTGTGATTTTCCCCTTTTGCGTTGTGGTGTGGAATAAACATAGCACTGACCACGCTTCAATATTGAGCATAAGTCAAAAATATCTGAGTCATACCTGCGACTAGCACACTGCGACACACTGCAGCTGGAGAATAACCAGCCCTTAACTCAGAATATGTGGGAAGGCTGGCAATTTCCTCATCACAGATGGCATTTGTCCAATCTATGCTTGAATTACATTGTGAAAAGAAGACAAGGCAGAATTATGTAGATGGGGAAAACCCAGGAATGCAAAGTTCTACTGAAGAAATGACTGAGGGTGGCTGAAAACAACAGCACGCCTGCCTTTTCAGATTTGTAGGCATTCCTTTTGTTTACAGTTTACTTGTTGTAATGTGGCCAAATATCAAAAGGTTTCAAAGGCGTAAGACTTATCAAAGGTACATGAGGTGAACTGGGTTCATGATGTGAAAACAAAGTAAGCTCCACCCATCATCCTTTTAAAAGCAAACTGACAACTGGAAGGTCGGTTTTGTCCATAAATGACTAGATCACTGAGCATGTGGTCCAAAGTATAACTTCCAGTGAAGCAACTCTGCTAACAGAAGAATTCAACCACACCCGCTGAGTCAAAACAGGAAGGTGCACCACACAATGCTGAAAACAGTGACCAAGGTTGTTACTGTCAGAAGCATGAATGCATGTCTGTGTATCCTTGAGCATATGACACACACACACACACACACAATCTGTGCTGCATTTGTTATGCTCTGGTACATGTGACGAGCCCAGCGCTCGTGGTTGATGCACGCGCCCGCTGATGTGTAATAGTAGCCAGTGTCTTGTGCTTTTTATAGAAGTAACAGCTCCTTGTGGTGCTTGTTTTTGTGAAGAATGCAAAGTCAGGTTTCTGTTTTGTTCCGAACATTAAAGAGGGATTTTTTTTCTTTGGTCAGCTGCCACTCTCATTTCTTTAGTTTTTTACTGTGAGATATTGTGATACTCGGGAAAATCCTGCCCTTAGTATTTACCATTAATGTTCTACAGAGCTCCTCCATCCACCATAGTCATTGCCTAACTGTCAGACAGTATATGAAACATCAAAACAGTTTCGCTTTGTATAAAAGGAAGTCTTGCGGGCTTGCAGTTCACGCATAGCTGTGACAAAGATAAACGACTTTCTCAGGGCTTTACTTTAGGTGTTGCATTGTGGCAAAGAGGTTGCCATACTTTCTCCTCATCAGGTCTGACTTGTTTTCTGCAGACCATTAGAAACAAAGGTTCAAAAACAAGAAGCTCATTTCAAAAGCCCATCTCTGGTTGAGAAGAAATTCCACAAACCTTAAATTTTTACGGTCGCAAACACAGGAAGGCGTTCAAGTTTTTTCAGCCCTTTATCAAGCTTTATTTTTTGTTTGTTTATATAGTAACTTTTATTTGGTAAAATCTTGGTTGACATATACTTATTATTACTATTTCCCTCATTGTTGTGTTGTTCTATTCTCTTTATCTAAAAAGTAGTTTTCATGCCGTTGCAGGTTTTGCTGTTTTGATTACATGTAATTATTTTTCCTATCCAAGATGATGTGGGGAAAACCCACATTATTGCATTTACTAAGGGTGAAAATACAATCTTAACATAAATGCAACATAAACCTGATTGGTTGGGCCACATATGGAGGCAATAGCTGCCATCGAGCATTTGAGATAATTGGCAATACACCAATCTTAGATGTCTTTGCAGGAATTTAAGCTAACCTTCACCTTAAGTGTTTTAATTAGCCACCTTCCGAGCACGTACAGGGTTTTTAATGCCGAGGCTTTGATTAAGCCCCTCATTATTCCATTTCTGTGGGTTTTCTTTATTTGTTCTGAACCACTCAAAGAAAGAAACTGTATAACCCAAGTGCAGATTCTACCTCAGATTTTCTGTTAGATTGTAGAATGTATTGTTTTTTACAGCCAGTTCCCCAGGTCTTCAAACAGCAAAGCAACCCCAGATCATCACTCTACCATCACCATGTTTGACTGGAATGTTTTCTTTCATATTTAGGATACTATATTA